TTTTAAAATGGAAACTAATTTGTAGAACTTATAAGCTTATTTAAAAAAACTGATATGCTGGAAACTAGACTGTCGAATCACGTTGACAACAAAAACCCCGAAATACGATTATCCGGTGATAAATATGGGTATTCCTATCATTGTAGTTGGATATGATTTTTATCAAAGGATTTGTGTAATTTTTATCCCTGAGCCTTGTTGAGATTCTTTGTATCCCATGTTTAATACTTCTCAACCGCAGTTTTACACTGTTTATTTATACATGTAGGACTCCACTTTATTTTATTTCATCACGCTAACGCAATATCCATCGTCATGACAAAGCTGCACATAACTGTGGGATCAAAAACAATATTGCATCAGCTATATCCACGGGATAAAGGGTAAATTTGGGTTTAAAAAAGTGAACATTACTTTTTTTCATGTTTTTGTAAATTAATCTTATTATTTAATACTTATAGTAATAGAGATAACAACTCCATCAAGCATACACCATTCTTCAAAGAATATTTCTCTTGATATCAAGATGCACGAAAATTTTTCTTACCCCATTCCTACTGTGTGTTTTATACCAAAAGTACACACGATGTTAAATGGTTAAATATGCATTGAAAAATTGCGCTCAATAAAGCAACAGTATAAATGTCCATAAGAGGAAAAATACAAATGTATGTCAAGGAATACTAGTAAGTGGAGGTCATAAAAAGTAAACTGAAATCCAGTGCATTCATTTATCTATGTGACTTAATTTTATTTGGTTAAAAATGTAAATGTATTGCATCAGCAATAGTGGGTCATGGATAAAAGAGTTACGTTCTAAAAACATTTGTACATGTATTTCTCTTCTGAACAAAATGTTTTATTTTTCTTTAATTGATAATCCATTTAGAGAAATGTCTTTTTGCAGTAATCGCTTTGATATGGTTCGCTGAAAGTATGATCTGTATTGCTCATCAACATTTAAATAATTTTCAATAATGCATATACGAGGGGTGTTAGAAAAGTTCATGGACAAGTTCTATTGTGAGCGCAATATTTCCACGAAACCGGTCAAACTTTCCATATTAAAATATTAACCTTTTATCTAATAAATATACAAGAATTTGGTGATCTCCGGTGATTCTTGAAAAATATACAGCTTTTTTTATTTAATAAAACTTGCTTCACGGAACATGCTCCATCTTGGCACGTTTACATCACAGACTCTTTATCAAAATTAAGAATTGCACAATTGTCGCGCAAACATATTACTGATATTTTATTTTCCGCTAAAGTTTTCATGAAACGTCACTGGGAGAAATTTTGAACTAAATTGGAGGGTATACGACTGTTTGGTGCAGACAGGAAAAGTCTAAAAAGCGATTATAATGTTCAAGATGATGCCGGGTTTTTCCTACACATACAAATGACAAAAGTTTTCAAATGGTTGTACTTTATAAGAATGGAAGGAATGACAGTTTGAAAGATTATCTCCATCGATACTTCAATATCCCCTTATTGCATGGACGTTGCGTTGCGCCTATATGGTTTTGCATAGTTTCCATACCTGATCGATTAACTGCATAGACTATTTAAAGATTTCATTTATATCCTAATCAGTACCAAAAACATTATAGTAGAAAAGTAACATGTCTTGATATACATATTAAATTTTAAAGATGACTAAAGAAAAATCTGAAGGAATGAAAGATTTATAGAACTGCGAAAAAGCTTAAAGGGTTGAAATCTGGTAGTCACGTCGCCTTACGTCAAGTGATCGCTCCGTGAATTCCAAAATCTCATAGTAAAAATCGTTGTTAATTTTCAAGATTTTATTAAATTTTTACAAATTAATGAACAAATTGTAGGAATTTATTCGAATTAGGTCATAATTAACAGTACACAATAGATTTTCTGTAATTAAATATGTCCGCGAACTTTTCTAACAACCCTCGTACATGTATTCCTACACAATCAATAAAACATATTTTACGCTTGATCAATTATCAGTTAAAATGGCGTCTAAGGAAATTGTCCTCTTGGTGTGTAACTGAAAAGTAACTGTCGTTGAAATCCTAATAAAGTAGACTTGATTTATATATTTTAAAATCCTAAAAATTGTATGTTTATTAAAATTCTACCTTATTTTTTTATGAATAGTAACTTTTAAATATCAATGTAAAATAAGTAAGGTATTAGATTGATCAAGAATACTATTCATTTTACTTCAAAGTATATGACAATACTTTTTTTTTTCATATTTTACAGTGGAATATATGGAGATTACAAATAACATTCAAGTCAAAAGACCATAAACAATGCAATATTGGAGCAGGATAAACACACACATCCAAAACGTCAAAGACGGAGTAAGGTGCAATGAAGGAGAAGGCATCCCCTGCTGAACGGTCACATCACTTTGCTACTTGTCATGATTTGGGAAATAATGGGAAAATCAGTCGACAATTTAGTTTGGAAATAAGTATAATTAATGTTAAATTGTACATGTATTTGCTGGCATAGTCTTTGTATCGACTACATGAATAGAACTAACAAAATGTTGACTTTAAACAAGACCGTTGATAATCTTTTCTCCTCAATTTGTTTGTCAATAATTTACCTCGTTTTAGAAATTGTTTACACGTAGAACACACTCTTCCGTATTGAATCATCTGAAAGATATAAACCCTGTGTGTAATTGAAGGTATATTGCTACATAAGAAAGAAACATTGACGATTGAAAGGCATAAAACGACGTCCAGTGTCTCAGTAGGTTCTAGCACAGAAAAGATCCCTCACTGCTTTTTACCACTCCTGTGCCGAATATTGGCCAATATTTGTAGCTCTTCATTGTCAAGCGTTGTCTTCTCTATATGATTAAAAAAAATTTCGAGGGGTACACACGTACGTTAAACAAGAATAGCTTTCACCATCCTGTTCTTAACCAGATTTCGCCTTTCTAATACCTTTTGTGACCCCACTCTACCCAAAAGTTCATAACTTGGACACTTTTAAATCTACACTACCAAACGCATAAATTTCAGCTTTTCTGGCCCAGAACTTCCCAAAAAGAATATTTTAAAAGATGTTCCCATATAGTTCGATGAAAATTTTGAGGTCTCTATTATGCAGCTCCCACATAAACAGGGGTCATGCTTTAAACAATTCACAATATACACTACTTAAAGATGCTTTCATATAAATTTTAGCTGTTTTGGCCCAGTACTTATTGCGAACAAGAGGCCCATATGCCGCATTGCTCACTTGAGTAACCTTTGTGATGCAGTTCTTTACTAGATTTCCCCTCTTTTTACACCTTTTGTGAACCCCCACCTCTTCCATGTCATGATTTTAAATCTTAGAACCTACATAACCCAATGATGCTTCCATGTAAGTTTCAGCTTTCCGGACCCAGTGGTTCTTGAGAAGAAGATTTTTAAAAAATTTTTTTTTCTATGTAAAACTTAGATTCCATATTGCTGACTGTCCTATCCCCATGTGGTATAATTTTAACAATGTAGAACTTATGCCACCCCGGGACGCTTCTGTATGAGTTTCAGATTTTGTGACCTAATGGTTCTTAAAAAGAAGATTTTTAAATATATTTCCTATATATTTTAATGTAAAACTTGGATTCCCACTATTGTGGCCTCGCCCTACTCTCTTAGCGTTAACTTTTTAACAATTTACAATTTTCACTATCCCAGGATGCTTCATCATAAGTTCAGATTTCCTGGCTCAGTGGTACATGAGAAGATTTTAATTTCCCCATTGTATTTCTATTTACATTTCTGATACCCTATGGTGGCCCAGCCCTACATTTACCTCGGAGGTCACAAATCTAACAAATGTACACTTCACAAGGATGCTTCCATATAATGACCCCATCCTATTTTTTCATTTCTTAATTCTCCCCTCTTGTACATTGTAGGGACCTTGACCCTCCACTTAAACAATTGAAACTCCACTTCACTCAACGATGCTTTGTACCAAGTTCGGTTAAAATTGGATCAGTGGTTCTTGAGAACATGTTGAAAATGTCAAAAGTGTACAGTCGGACGTAGGAACACACAGACGGTCGGACTTTACCCATCAGATGATCAGAAAACACGAAGTTTCAGCTCAGGTGACCTAAAAAGATTTTCCTATTTAGTTTGATGTAAAACTTGGATTCCAAATTACGGTATAGCCCTTCTCCCGGGGGATATGTTTTGAACAATTAAAAATCTTCACTACCCCAGGATGTTCTCACATAAGTTTCAGTTTTTTTAAACATTGGTTCTTATTAAGAAATTTCTTTCTGATATTTTGATGTAAAACTTGGCTTCCTTATTGTGTTCTCGTCTTAAAAGCAGGGGTCATGTTTTGAACAAATTAGAATTCACACTACCCCAGAAAATGTACACATTAGTTAAAAGTTTTCTGGCTCAGTGGTTCTTAAGAAGAGTTTTTAATCATCCCACTCTATTTTTGTCTTGTCTTGATTATCTCCCATTGGAAAGGGGTTGTGCCTTCACTTAAACTCCCTTTCACTCAAACTCGCTTGATGTGGTTGCTTTGTACCAACTAAAGTTACATGTACCATTGGCCCTATCTTGAGGGGAAAATGAAAATGTAAAGTTTACAAAAGAACCTGTGGACGACGGACAACCGTTGATCAGAAAAACTCACTTGTGCGTTAAGATATACAGACAGAAATGGATGAAATATTTTCATCAGTTCAACAAAAGAAATTTACCTCCGACGTGTGTTGCCTTATGGATAACGACAGACAATAACGGAGAACTTTGGTCACTAAAGTGACTCATGTGACGTTAAAATCCATAGGTATGAGGTCGTAATATCATCTTTACATCTTTAAAATAACATAAAATAAAAATTATGAATGACTAGACCTATGCACAAATATTCAGTCAGATTCACAAATCGCAACATTGATCATACATATACATCTGAAGAATACATATAGAAAAAAATATAAAATTAATGTGTTTTATCTATATACAAATATTTAACCAGAGACAGGAATCTTTAGAGTTTTAGGCAGCGATATTACCAGTACATTTAAAATATGAGTAGAGAAAAAACTTTTAATGTTTAAATCTACATACACATATTGAGCCAGAAATAAAAATCCTTCACTTTTGTATCATCTGTTTTAGGCTACAACCATGTAAGCCCCCATCTGGAACTCTTCCTCATGAATATAAGTTAAACTGTATCCTACGTTTTCATGTATAACCATTTTAGTCCTACTATATATGGGGTCTCATCACTGAACCCAGGAGAAATACAAAAAGTAATGTGGTCAATAATCTTCTATAGAGTCAACTTCTTAATATTCTATATGAAAGGACTTTGTTTGCTGAAACATTTAGTCATTAAGTCAAATGATGGTTGATGTCTTTTAAACAAATTGTTAAGGCATAACATTTGCATAAATATTGAATGCAGTATTTTCTATTTATCAGGATAAGATAAGGAGCTTCATGATCAGTGAAAAGTGGATGCTTATTTCTTCATTTATCAGGATAAGATAAGGAGCTTCATGATCAGTGAAAAGTGGATGCTTATTTCTTCATTTATCAGGATAAGATAAGGAGCTTCATGATCAGTGAAAAGTGGATGCTTATTTCTTCATTTATCAGGATAAGATAAGGAGCTTCATGATCAGTGAAAAGTGGATGCTTATTTCTTCATTTATCAGGATAAGATAAGGAGCTTCATGATCAGTGAAAAGTGGATGCTTATTTCTTCATTTATCAGGATAAGATAAGGGGCTTCATGATCAGTTAAAAGTGGATGCTTATTTCTTCATGGCAGCCGATCCATCTCTGTTTTCAAAGGTTCTTGCTTGCTCTGCTCGTGAATGGCTCTGTAAAAGACTTACGCAGCCCGACTCTTTAGCCAGACCCCAACAGCCAGATAAAAGACTCATTTGTAATTATAATAATGGGTCAAGGTCATGACACACCTTTGGGTCATGGGCATTCTTTCAGTGAAATGAGAACCTACCAAGTTTATCCATAAGAAAGATATGGACCAGACATGAATTATGAAATTTTTCTTCCAGTGACCTTGAACTTTCCCAAATGACCTTAGGTCAAGGTCATTACTCACCCTTGGGTCATGGGCAATCTTTGTGTGAAATAAAAACTTACCAAGTTTATCCATAAGCAAGATATGAACCGGACACGAATTATGAAGTTTTTTCACCAGTGACTTTGAACTTCCCCAAATGACCTTGGGTCAAGATCATGACACACCCTTGAGTCATGGGCAATCTTTGTGTGAAATGAGAGCCTACCAAGTTTATCCATAAGAAAGATATGGACCGGACACGAATTATGAAATTTTTCTTCCAGTGACCTTGAACTTCCCAGAATGACCTTGGGTCAAGGTCATGACACACCCTTAGGTCATGAGCAATCTTAGTGTGGAGTAGTAGATTCTAATGTCCCTCTGTAAGAAAGATATGGACCGGACACGATTGCAAAGACGGACGGACGGACAGACGGACAGCTAGACAGACGGACAGACAGACAGATGGACAGACGGACAAGGTGATTTTTATATACCCCCCAAACTTTGTTTGCGGGGGGTATAATAAAATTTTGAAGATTCTGGACCATCCATCAAATTCCAATAAGAATCATTAAATTAAAATATTTCCCTAAATTCACTAGTGCATTACATAAAAAAATAAAGTTTGCTCAGTCATTCATCAAACTTAAAAGAATTAAGCATAAAGACATAAGCAGTTATAAAGTCACGTGACAACAAGACATATGATAAACATCAATCTATACATGCACAAGCATACTACCAAATGTAAGGTACATTACAATGTTTTTTTTAATATAATTATAAAAAGTCAATTGCAGGGACCTGGACATACAATTTTAGTTATATTGTCTAAAAGGTTCACTATCACACGATTCGTACTTTTAGCATTTAAAAAAAATAATGGTATAAAGAAAAATGCCAATTATTATAGAATTTTGAAATGTACACAATGAACCCGTGTCCCAGCCCCTTTAAGACTGCTCTACATATCTGCAATTCATAACAATGCACAGAATGCAACATTACAATAATAAACAGGCATCGTGTTTATTCTGTTTGTTCAAGGTTTCTAGTATTTATTTCCACTGCTCTTTGAGATAATCAATAACATCACTTCGCTCTACGAAATTCAAAGCTCTGCATAAGTCACGGCGGCTCAGATGTGGACACTCTTCTCTCACTTTAAGAAGAGACTTATATATCCTATCTCTAATCGTAGGTACATCGGCTTCAAGTTGTTCTATACGTACGTGAGGCAGACGTAAAAATCGCACCAAATGAGTATACTCTTTAGAAAGCTTCTCGGACAACATCCGACATTCTTTGTTTGAAACATAGCGAGTAGGTTCCATTAAGTCACTACATACAACGTCTGACACCCGAAATGTGCCAACATAATCTGCGGCTTCTCCTTGTTCAGCCTCCCGTAAAATTCTCTCCAACTCTTTTTTGTGATCCACGTTTGAGTTGGCGCATTTCCATTTGTAGAGAACTCTGAATCTATCCTCTTCCACACACATTGTAGGAGGTTGTTCCATGACACCAAAATACGTCGCAAGTATTGGAGAGGTGATGTTCACTAGTTTTCTTGATACCGCATTTAAAATCATTTCAATTGCTAGAAAACGAAAGGTACTATTTAAAACCATTTAAATTGTATTTTGTTCCTCTTTGTTCTGATATTTATTTTTTTTTATAAAATATTTCTTAAAACTCAAAACATTAGATATTAAATAGAAAATAATACATACCCTTTTCCATATCGCATCCTGTATCAGCCCAAGACACCAATATCAGCCAGAGGACCGAAGGCCCGAGTGCTGATATTGGTCGAGGGCTGATACAGGATGTGATGTGAAAAAGGGTATGTTTTATCATATCTATTACATACTTAGTAATAAAATACAGCATGCATTAAGTTGAGAAGAAAATAAGTAAATAACCATGCATGGACTTCTTACGTACATGTACATGGTCTATTGTCTCATACGATTTGGGTTTGTTTCTACTTCAATTTCAATGCACTCGATCCGTAATTTAAAAATAATCTATTATATGTATTTGTAAATAAAGATTAACCTTATTTACAAAAAGTTCAAATTAAGAGAATACGAACCCACCAAAAATTGTGTATGATCACAAGTACTGTTTTTGTGGTTTAATTTACTAATGGTGTGATATTGACGTCAAAATAGCCGTATCAGCCCTGCAGGGCTGATAGGGCTATTGTGACATCGGCCATATCGCATATGCAAAAAACCTGTATTTATTACTAAGTGTGTAATAAATATAAATAAAAGTTGACAATAGGATTACATACACAATTTGGAAATGTCCCCCTCAACTTCATTCTCTAACTGCTGCACCTGTGCGATAAAAAGGTATTCTTACAAATTATTGAAATAATGTATAATTATAAACAAATTATATTCTTAAAAAAAACTTTAGTTATCTTCAAAAATGCTTTTTCAACAGGTCTCATTCAGCTTTACAAATATCTTATGATAAAAACTACCTTTTATTAAAAAAGCAAGTAATATTTCAATTTTAAAACGTCTTTAGTTATACATACGAGGGTTGTCCCAAAAATTCGTAGACAAAGTTTATAATTTTTTAAACATGCCACCAATTCTAACCAAATTTTGCATAGATATAATATATTCAATGTTCTTTAAAATTGTGAATTTTTAAATATATATCTTTCATATTAATAAAATTAGTACAATTTATATGAATGCCGATAAGGCTTGTCGGCGCACGGACAAAATTCGGAATAATTTACATATATAACTATTACATTTCCTTTTATTTCTTTAGTGCCATGTAATACATTGGTCTAAAATTTAAATCACTGAAACTAGAATCAAAATCTGAATAATATGTCAAAATTTCATTTAAATAGCATTAGAAACATACGATTGGTGTAGTGTTTTCATAGTATCGTTGGAATTGAGTTTGATGAAGATGACGTCGTCAATCGCGTAACCGGCGCACGGAGATATAATAAATAGTGTTAAATATGGTTTATATATATATATATCAGAGATGGAAAAAAAGAGTACAGAAGTGACATTACACACCAGATTTTAATAAAGACGTTATTTTTAAATAGTACGGTATTCAATGATGGTTTTTCCTCCATACCAAAAATAGTTACGGCATGTTAGAAGAAGTGTACTGTTTAATAAACGCAGATAATTGGGAACAATCTGGACTGCGAAAGACGTCAAACAACGTGTATTCTCTGCTGTCTACAATGTAACGCAATCTTTTGACTAAAATTCGACTGAAATTTGAACCTGCTTAAAAAGCAATTGAAAACCAAACGAAGAGTAGTGAATTTAAATAAGTCCCTTCATAATTCAAAAGTAGTCACTTAAAAAATATTGAATGTTAATATGAAGACGGGAGTGAAGCAGACAAAGAGATCATTTTGTTATAGGAGACGTAATTTACGCTTGCTTTCGCGCGCCGGTGTACACTAACATTCTTTCTTTATTTTGACAAAATTTTCTTATTAAATGTGATATCATCGTGAAACTTGAAATGTATGATCATAAAATGTTAATTTTTGCTCTGACAAGAAAAGAAATTTAATTAAGCAAAGACAAACTAAGGTTTTTTCCCTGTATACGACTTTTTGGGACAACCCTCGTAGATATATTATATTTCTAATTTTGGGGGTTCTGTTCAAATATAATGGAAAATGTTTTGTAAAAAGACACTTGATTAACAAGTTAGAGCAACATATATCTTTTAAATACCTGTATCCAGTATTTGGTGATATCTTTTGTGCAAACAATATGCTTTTTCCCTTCTGGACAAGAAGGACACTGTAAAGTCGGCCCTCTGAGGTCCAATTCGTATATAACCGCACTGCTGTTGTTATCACAGAATCCTTCAGGTTTGCATTTGAAGGCAGTGTGAAATTTTAAGTTTCGTTGGAATGTACTGGAAAGGATGTACAATTCACCCTCAATTTTTTCTCTTATCTGGAAACATGTCAATATATCCACGTCTCCCTCGCTTACAAACACCTGCAACTGGATTTCCGTCGGGGTCATTCCAAGCAAAATGTTATGATCGTCCTCGAACAGAAAAACAGCTGCAGTCTGGTAAATAAGTGGACGTTCTTTCCGATCTTTAATTTCTTTGACAAGAGCCCAAGGGAATTCCATGCATCTTGCTACAAGGCGCTGGAAAATACCCACCGGAAGAGCATCAAACAGAAAACAGAGGATGGAGGAGGCAGGGTATGCTGAAAATCTGTGAACAGGAAACGGTCTTTTGTTCATACATGGAACATACCATCTTTTGTCATCCATTTTAGCCAGAAGACCAAGCTTCTCCATGTAGCGCATGATTTCATCCTTGTGCTCAAGGTACCCATTGTTGTTCATTTCCCATATAGCAGACAGCAGTGTGTCACTCAGTTCTCCAGTTTCATTAAATTTGTCCCATTGTGAGGCAAGCTCAAATAAATCCTCTGCTGCATGGTTTTTATCGGTAATGACATTTTTGAATGCATCTGCAAACCATTGAACATCAAGAATTATGATTCCTCTCAGAGATTCTTGGTTAAAGTGTAAAATTTCTCTGATGTCATGGAAAAACTGCAGCATGGTGTTAATATCTTCGATCGTTTCCAATTTCAGTTCCTGTGGCAATGCTTCATTGAAAGCCAAAAGTGTCTCTTTATTGATTACTTTAAGGTTCTTCTTTTCCTGGAAGAAGTTTTCAAACATAGCCCAGGAGTGCGGAAGTTTTTCACCCCAGTGATCAAGATTTCGGACAACATCAACAACTGACAGCTTGATTTTTTCAATGCATTCATTTTCATGGAATCCAACAGCAAACATCCTTTTCCTGTCAATATGCCTTTGCAGAGAAGCATCATTTGTTTCCAAGCTCGTCCATATATCACGAAAAAACTTTTCTTTTTCCTGGTAAAAAGAGTTATTCAGTTAAAAAGTATGAAGATAGCAGACAATGGACTTAGCTGTTCTTGAAAAGCTGTTTTTTTTAATTTTACTTCGTAAAAATTTGATCCTCATTTGTGACTTCTTTCTACCCTAAGGGTTCATTTGAAATATTGATTAAACGAAATTTGAATCTTCAGTACCTTACCTTAGGATACTAACATGTCAGGATGATTAAACATAGCCTTTATGTTAACATTGAGATTTTTCTTCTCAACTTGGAAGAACATTCGGATTAATGTATTGTTCATTAAAATTTTGATCACAAACTGTGGCCCCACCATATCTGGGGGGTACATGATTTGATAAAAAATAAATTTTAAAATGAATATTCACATAAGGCAATTTTTGTAAATTTCTGTAAAAGTGAAAAAGCTTTGCTTCACTTGAGAATGCATAAAATATCATTTAGACTCTTGGCGATTGAGAATCCATAAAAAATGACGAAAAATTTTTGTCATGCATTATGACGTCATGAATTGCGTCATTCTCCTCAATATTCTTAAGCAAGCAACAAAACGACCATATTTTAAAGTTCTCTCCGATATCTTCTATAGAGCGCAATGTCAGATCTAAAATATGTAATAATGATAATGATAAAAGGATGGAACTGGGTTTTTTTTTAGGATTACAACACACGTTTTATAATTTTTTATTAAAGAGTCTGCTTATATTTTTTCTTCTCTGAAAGTACTCAAATATACCAGTTTTTCTTAAAATTTAAGAACATTGAATTATCATAGAGCAAGTTTTCAGGAGAAAATTTTTAATAGGCCTTGATTTGAACTAATTTAAATTCCCTTCATCTGTATTATAGTTTAACTATATATTAACAGTATAATCTGAGCTAAGTTTGGTTGAAATTAGCCCAGAGATAATTGAGAAGAGTTTTAAAATATTAAAGGAATAAAGCGGCAACAACGACAGACAGCGGGCAAATTTGATCAAAAAGTTCCTTCGCTTCTTCGGTTTCGAAGAGCTAAAAAAGCTTTTGCAGTGTTATCAAATACCTCCTTTGTCTTTTGTTCAGCATGAGTGCCCACCAGTATAACAGGAGCCTTTTCACTGCTGTATTGATGAATGGACTTGGTCCAGAATGTTAGATAGTCTGAATAAAATAAAAATCAATATTTACTCAGTAATTTTATTAAGTGTACATGATACACCACCCTGTAACCCTACATTAAACTTCATGTAATAGTCAATATATATCATGTGTATGGGTGTATTCATCTTCATAAGAAACCAAGATGTGTTTGTGAAACACTATGAGCCCGGCGGCAACAAAGTTCGGAAAAAGCTATTTTGAGCATTATGTCTCAGTTAAGGTCATTTGAAAGAGATTGATTTGTGGAGAATGCGTACCATATATGAAATCTCAATCTCTCATGGTTCAAAAGTTATAGTGAGGGTTCAAAAAAGTGACTTTTAGCATATAGATCACAGTCAAGGTCACAAGGTCATTGACCTTGGTATCATTTGAAAGAACCTGAATATTGGAGTATGCATGCTAAATATGAAGTCTCTATCTTTCATGGTTCAAAAAGTTACGGCGAAGGTTAAAGTTTCCAGAAAAAAGCTATTTTTAGCATATACCAGTAGGCCACCGTTAAGGTCACAAGGTCATTGATACTGGTGTCATTTGAAAGAGCTTGATAAGTGGAGTATGCATATTAAATATGAAGTCTGGATCTTTCATGGTTCAAAAGTTATAGTGAAGGTTAAAGTTTGAAACAAACAAACAAACAGACAATCAGACAGACAGACAAACGGGACATAAACAATATACGCCCTGGATCTATCGATCCAGGCGCATAAAAAAATTATCTTTAACAAAAACTCAATCATACATGCAATACCATATCAATAAATTTGCGGCCTAAATCCTGTTCAGTTGAAGTTAATGAAACCTCTGTAATGAGCAACGAATAAAGCCTAATTTTGAATGTAGGCCCTATGACCTTTTTATAGACTTGACTAAATCCATAGACCATAACAATCATCTCAATCAATTTGAACTGTTGTTATACCAGGTATCTTAATAGTAGTTTTCAAGGTCATTGTATCGACCATTGAGGTTACTAAATTATGCCTTTAAAAGAGAATGCTTGTCAATTAAAAAAATTAAGCAGAAAAAATTTCCATACTTATAATGCAATTGCTTCAACAGATACTAGACAACTACACATAATAAACTTTAATCATGTAATAAAAACATACCTTTGTGTGTCCATCCTTCGTAAATGGAACCTTCCTGGCTACAGACTTCTTTTCCAACCTTTTCAAGTAATTTCGTTTCCATATTAAGCACTAGAATGAAGAATGCCCGGGGACTCAGAAAAATCTGATGTGAGGCATAATATGAACACTGTCCCGCAAAGTCTACCATGGTAATTTTTTTCTCTGGAGCACCCGATACATCTTTGGAAACTCGTATAATTCCTGATATTTCTGATTTCTCAGGAACATTTTGTCTGCTGTCCTCAACTACGTCCTCCTCTTTTTCCAGAAAGGCAGCAGCTTCATTTCCTTTACGTGATTCAGATTCTGTATTCAAGCTCTTATGTGTAATTTCTTCATCACTGACCGATTCTTTATCGCTTGTTCTACTGCCTGTATCCTTCCGATATCCTTTCTCTTCAATGTCCAATCTTTTCATGTCACCAGATAATTCTGCAGGTTTGTCCTGAATACTCTTTTGTTCGCTTGACTCCTCAATTTTAACTTTGAAGCGTTGTTTCTGGCTTGATGAATTTACTGCAAAACCAAAAAAAAAATAGATTTTTCTTTTTAATCATATTACTCATTATATTAATTTCTATAAGTTACAAATATAAGTTTGAACATCACTGGTTTAGTTGATTCAACTCATTTTATGAAATTTTGAACAAGTCAGGCACGAAAGCCTCTCTCTCTTAAAAAATACTCAAGTTTATGATGGAATAATGGTTCAGAAGTTTATATAACATGGTTTCATTTTCAAGGTCATTACTCAGCTCAATTTGAATCTGCTGATATTGGACATCCACAGTTTTTAAGTCACAAAGAGCCATAGCTGCTTTTAAGTCACAAAGAGCCATAGCTGCCTTACCGACGATTCGGCCTACTCATGTATTTTTAAAAAAGGAAATCACCTGTTTCTATTTATAGATACATGTACCTTTTTCAATTCAAAATCAAACTACATGTATGTAATCATTTGTGAACCAGTGTTATATTTTCAAAGTTTTTTGCATGACAGTAATTTTACTTGTCCAATAGTCTTATTCTAAACAAGATTGTTTGAAATTTTTAAAAATAAAACGGCGAGAAGCTATGACTTTGGGTCATTAAAATAGTTTAAGACTGTTTCCCCCCAAGATACTTTCAATGTGTAATGTTGTATTGTATATCTCTTTTAAAAATTATTTATACATGTATTATAAAATAATAAAAGAAAACATAAGAAAATGCACACAGAAAAAAAAATAAAATCGTAGTTAAGTAACACGCACTGTGAGACTCGAACTCACGGTCATTAATCCAATCCAATCCAGTCTTCAATCCATCAATCATACCACTATGCCACGAACTCTTGGTAACCAAATGTATAAAATTGAGACAGATTGTTGAATTTTGAAATAATTTTAGTCAAATGCTGTCTGATGTTTTCATACCAATTGTTAGTCCATTATTTAAAAACAGAAATGACGACAGATTTTTCCGTTATCTTCTGATCATGACAAGGAGCACACGATGGGTGTGACCGGTGGGCAGGGGATGCTCACTCCTCCATGGCACCTGATCCCACCTCTGATGTATCGGAGGTCTGTGTATGCTCTGCTCGTTTTGTATTGTTTTATGGACCTTGAGATTGAATACTGTTCGTTATCTCCATATCTTTCTTTATCTTTTCATCTTTTTCTTACATTTGTCACCTTCTGGTCTTTCATCAGGATCACACATACATGCGTAAGCAATCGTTATGCCAATTCTTAACTGTCTTGAATTTTTCTACTGTGTTTTCTAGATTTTTAGACTGTGTTTTGTGTTAAATAGATTCGGGGCATATATTGTTTTGTCCTGTATTGTTTTGGCTGAATGGCATCTGAAAAGTCACTGAAAGCCGCCATAAAGTTTTAATTGAATGTCTCGTTTCTTCCTGTGTTGGTATGCAAACTTCACTTATTAAGTTCTTTAAAATGGCACCAAAGGCAATGAATGTAACCTTGACTGTGACCAATGTGCTAAAAACAGCTTTCTTGAGCTTTGTTGTCACAAACATATTTTTTCAATATAATCCAGACATAGATACTACAGTATTTTTTTCTGCAGCGTTACTGTAAAGTTTGCCAAACAGTTTTAAGTGCTGTTAGTCAAAGTGTTTGTAACACATGCCTTATGCCATGTCTTGATTGTAACACGTTATTTGGAATACTTCATCTGATAAGATTAAAAAAAATCATACCCTTGATTGTTTTTCCAGTTACATCAAATATGTCAGCCTGGACATCAATTCCCCTGGTTGACTTTGAACTCTCCAGAATTTCTTTCAGTTCGATGCCTTTCAGTCTTTCAAGCAAGGTTGACTTCCCACTACCAGCACAGCCAATGATCATCCCAGAGGCGTGGTACATGGTCGTCTCTCCCTTCTTCAGATTGTCCAAGAAATTCCTCACAGAATCATCTCCTCTCATTATAACCTGTACTGGTATGCCGACTACAATGACAAGAATATGTCTCTTTCATTCTGAATTACAACACACAATAAAAGTAAAAATATATCACAGTTCCAATAAAGTGGACAGGAACAAATGTCGCGTAAGCCTATTTACTTCATGTAGTTGAGTAAAGCTTTAACTGTTCTATGCATTTTAATTATTTACTAAATAAATATTGATGAAGCTACGTTTATTAAACAGAAAACTATCAGCTGTACTGCTCACATATTTTTTTAAATCAGTGAAGACCTAAAAAGAATTGCCCATCCTAAAAAAGTATGCATTTTTCATCTTGAAAAAATCGCTGATATTTCCATTTGTAACCTTAACTGTACTGCGAGGATAAACTTTGAAAAAAATACTGAAAGAAACAGCAAAATGTTAGAGACACTTGAAAAACAAATAAAAGAAACATACGCTTGGTATACACTAATTCATGTATTGATTGGTCCATCATCGTTGTATGTGTGAACATGTCTTCTCCAAGTTTTTCTATCAGCTGCTCTGTTTGATTTGGCAATAACCAACAGCAAACTTCTTCCTCAATCTCTTTTCTCAGATAATTTGATGATCTGCAGTATTTTGAAATGCTTTCTTTTTCTGCCCAATCCAGAAACATACTCACAAATGCTCTATCTTTGGCATATCTAAGAAAACATGTGTCTCTAAAGAATTCACAGGAAAATTCAACATTCACACTATCCTGTTTGAGTATTGGTTTGTACTTCTTTAAGTTGCTTAGATTGGACAACTTCTTAATCTTCTTGAATTTAAAAACTTCAGCAACAGCATTATACTTCTCTATCCAGTGTTTTTCTTCTAGATTTATTTTGTATGAAGCACAAAGGAGAAGGCACATCAAAACTGCGTCTCCATCTACAAATAAACAGAAAGTCCATGTATCACATCACTCACTGTAGTTTTTGCTTTTTGGACAAAACAAGAGGCCCATGGGCCACATCACTCACTTGAGCACTGTTGCTAGGAAAATTTAGAAATTGGTTCATTATTAAAAAATTTAAATCCAAAAGTAGTCCCATCATGACCAATCATGGACTTGCTATTGTTAATAAGATGATTTTCCTATATATATATATATATATATATATATATATATATATATATATATATATATATATATATATATATATATATATATATATATATATATATATATATATATATATATATATATGTATATTCATGTTAAACTTTGGTCGGCAAATGTGGCCGCTCCCTACCCCCAGGGGTTATGATTTGAACAAACTTGAATCTACACAACCTGAGGATGCTTTCATATGAATATGATCAATTATGGCTTTGGAATTCTTGAGAAATATATTTTTAAAAAGTTTTCCTATATATTTCTATGAATAAATTTTTTAGGTCATTTTGGCCCTGTCCTACCACCGGGATCACTACCTGAGAATGTTTTCATATAGATAAGATAAATTATAGCTTTGTCATTCTTGATAAGAAGATTTTTAAAGAATTTTCCTATATATATATACATATATATATAAAGCACTAAAAATGACCAACGACACGAACAATAAAAATTGTCAAATTTTCGGGATGCCCTGTCCCTTCCTCAGGACAAAGAAAAAGTTAAAAAGTCATAAGAAGAAAGGAGAAAGAGAAACAAAAACAACTAGCACTACTACTAAACTACTAAACACTAGATATTTACATACTTAATTACATGTTAAGTTGGAAATTTTAAAGAACACTAATAAAGAAAGAAATTCGGACCGCTATGAAATGCGTCCGGTCTATCGGGTATACTCGGGTGAAGTACGATTTACATAATTGAACGAATTAATTATGCTAATTAATTACGACAATCAGTAAATCGTACGTTATTTCATTCCTTCAAAATGGCGTAACTTTACTTAATAAAGAATAATGAAAGAAAAATCATATAATAGGAATATTTAAACATATGAATTGTGATCAATTATAAATTTTGAAATATTTAAGGACTTATTATCGGGAAAAAATAGTTAACAAAGGCGTAAGCAATACTTAGTTATGTGGTTGTTCGAGTTCGAGAGTTGGTGGCACAAATTAACTGTAGAGTTTACACTAAATTGAGAGAATAATTTTGTTTAGTATGATCAGGAATTGGGTCTAATTTACGTTCATTCTGGTGAAGTCATTCAATTTGTTAATACCATTTGGGCGGAATGACTTCAATCTGTGCATCCAGAACGTTTCTTTGCTTTTCCTCTGAGCATCTGTCCATCTTGGATTATGGTCAATCACCACTACTGTCATGTCCTCCCATTTGTGACCCTCAAGGTTGAAATGTTCCCCAACGGGTTCATTGAGTTTTTTTGGTCCTAATGGTCGAATGGTGGTTATTGACTCTCCTACGGAGATCTCCTGTTTCACCAACATACTGTTTGGAGCAAACTTTGCAAGTGATGAGATAAATCCTTCAAAAGAACCTACCAATTCTCCATTCAAACAAACGAATGGCAGAGGTCTTTAAGGAACCCCCATTGGCTGCATACAGACGCCCAAGGAATCTAAAGGACATAGTAGTAAGAACCAGACTGGACAACCCATTACCTAACGGGGGCTTTAAAACTTGCTCTGACAGGAGATGTCTTCTTTGTAAGCACAGCACTGGCACAGACAGTTTTAAAAGCCCTGTTACAGGCCGCAGCTACAAAATACTAGGGAATTTGTCCTGTCATACTGACAACTGCATTTATCTCATCACTTGCAAAGTTTGCTCCAAACAGTATGTTAGTGAAACAGGAGATCTCCGTAGGAGAGTCAATAACCACCGTTCGACCATTAGGACAAAACAAGAGGCCCATGGGCCTTATAGGTCACCTGAGCATTATGCAACAACTTTCGAGTGATTTAATTTGATTCATGTTTTAAGCAAGATGCTATGGCATTCACAATTTTGAAAGAGGCACCATTTGATCATCATAACAATACACTTAACAGTTGCTTATTTTGTTTACTTAATACACATAGGCAGGGTGGAGGAACAAAAAATGCATTTCAAGTAATCAGTAATATTCAGCAATAATCAGTAATGCCCCTATCACACATGAACCCCTGACCCTAAGGCCTAGATCCACACATTGCATAATTTTTGAAAAGGCACCCTTGCTTTTCAAAAATATTTGATTAATACCAAGGAGCAGATCTCAAACAATTCATCCAGTTTCAGCATATAAGTACACCCCCCTATGGTGCCCCTGACCCTGGGGCCTTGAAATTAACAATTCTGGAAGATTAGGGTCCTTGCTCATCATAACTACATGGGTAGTTCATCTGCTTAATACCCAAGAGCAGAGAAGAAACTTTTCGAAGATTTAATGTATTTTCACTATATAATCAATAGAGCCCCACCCTATCACTAGAACCCCTGACCCTAGGGCCATAAAATCAAAATTTTGGAAGAGGTATTCTTGCTCATCATAACTATGTACTTAGTTTATTTAATTCCTAGGAGCAGAAAAGAAATTTTTTCAAAGAATTCATGTATTTCCATTATATAATCAATAGAGCCCCACCCTAGCACTAGAACCCCTGACCCTGGGGCTAAAATTTCACATTTTTGGTAGAGGCACTCTTGCACATCATAACTATGCACTTAGTTAGTTTATTTAATACTCAGGAGCAGAGAAGAAGATTTTCAAAGAATTCATGAATTTTCACTATATAATCTATAGAGCCCCGCCCTAACACTAGAACCCCTGACCCTAGGGCCATAAAATTTACAATTTCGGTAGAGACACTCTTGCTCATCATAACTATGCACTTAGTTAGTTTATTTAATACCCAGGAGCAGATAAGAAGATTTTCAAAGAAATAATGCATTTTCACTATATACTTATTTAGCCCCACCCTAGCACTAGAACCCCTGACCCCGGGGCCATAAATTTCACAATTTTGGTAGAGGCACTCTTGCACATCATAACTATGCACTAAGTTATTTTATTTAATACTCAGGAGCAGAGAAGAAGATTTTCAAAGAATTCATGAATTTTCACTATATAATCTATAGAGCCCCGCCCTAACACCAGAACCCCTGACCCTGGGGCCATAAAATTCACAATTTTGGTAGAGGCACTCTTGCACATCATAACTATGCACTTAGTTAGTTTATTTAACCATACCCAGGAGCAGAGAAAAAGATTTTCAAAGAAATAATGCATTTTCACTATATACTTATTTAGCCCCACCCTAGCACTAGAACCCCTGACCCCGGGGGCATAAATTTCACAATTTTGGTAGAGGCACTTTTGCTCATAATAACTATGCACTGAATTAGTTTATTTAATACTCAGGAGCAGAGAAGAAGATTTTCAAAGAATTCATGAATTTTCACAATATAATCTATAGAGCCCCGCCCTTACACTAGAACCCCTGACCCTAGGGCCATAAAATTCACAATTTTGGTAGAGGCACCCTTGCTCATCATAACTATGCACTTAGTTATTTTATTTAATACCCAGGAGCAGAGAAGAAGATTTTCAAAGAAATAATGCATTTTCACTATATACGTATTTAGCCCCGCCCTAGCTATAGAACCCCTGACCCTGGGGCCATAAATTTCACAATTTTGGTAGAAGACTCAATGCTGATTACAATCATGCAAACAGTTTAACTGCTTGATATCCAGGAGTAAAGAAGAAGATTTTTAAAGATTGCATTAATTTTAGTGGTTTTTGCCCCACCCCCCAGGCCCCAGGGGGGCAGGGACCATGAAATTCACAATTTTTGTTCCCCTTCACCCATAGATGCTTTGTGCCAAATTTGGTTAAAATTGGTTCAGTGGTTGCAGAGAAGAAGCTGAAAATGTTCAAATGTTAACGGACGACGCACGACGCACGACGCACGACGACGGACGAAAACAGATGGCAATAGGTCACCTGAGTTTACTCAGGTGACCTAAAAACTCAATGAACCCGTTGGGGAACATTTCAACATTGAGGGTCACAAATGGGAGGACATGACAGTAGTGGTGATTGACCATAACCCAAGATGGACAGATGCTCAGAGGAAAAGCAAAGAAAAGTTCTGGATGCACAGATTGAAGTCATTCCGCCCTAATGGTATTAACAAATTGAATGACTTCACCAGAATGAACGTAAATTAGACCCAATTCCTGATCATACTAAACAAAATTATTCTCTCAATTTAGTGTAAACTCTACAGTTCATTTGTGCCACCAACTCTCGAACTCGAACAACCACATAACTAAGTATTGCTTACGCCTTTGTTAATTATTTTTTCCCGATAATAAGTCCTTATATATTTCAAAATTTATAATTGATCACAATTCATTTGTTTAAATATTCCTATTATAAATCGTCACGGCGTAGTGGGCAGCGGACGTGTTTTCGCTGTCCTCGGATCGACTTGACATTTTTTGCTAAAAAAGCGTATATTTTCTTTCTACGACTGTTTGGAAAGAAATATATTGTGTGTATAGTGTATATAAAGTGTGATTCTTTGTGCATTTACTGCACGTTTGGGATTTAAAATACTCTGAGAGAGCGAATATACCCTGTGTTTACCTGGTGAGTACCTACTCAGGTGTGATATTGACTCGCGAGCAGAATTCTATCTATACTTTGTATGCATGTGTTATAACTAAATACATTCTATATCGAATATTTGAAAAATGGATCAAATGCTGAAACCAGTATACTTGAAGAACAACGAGCTTCTATCTGAAAGCGATGATGAACGAATTACAAATTTTGAGATACTTCAAGCTGTTTCGTCGTGCGTCGGTGATGCGATGAAATGCATCCAATAAGACCGCGAATGTGGCGAATATATCTGACCAATGTCCACAGCAGAAGTAAAATTCTACTGGAAGGTTTCGATTTTAAAA